CTGTATTAATGCAATTCATCTTTTAAAACCTTTAAACGTTTTATATATATATATATATATAGATTTAATTATTTATATTTATATATATATGTATAAGAGATATGTTACATTTTCTGTTTTTTTCTTCTTTTTTCTTTGATAAAGCTGCAGTATCAGAAGTTTATTATTATTATCATTATTATTATTATTAATTATTATTACTTTCACAGGAAAAAAAATTGCCCTTTCAAGGAACATTCCAAAAAAATAATAATCCATCCATAGATTTATATATCTCAATAGCAATCTAGCAACTACCAACACGTTAGGCTAACTGTTTCAAACACCATCATAATCCATATGCATTTCCTACTTTTAAGAGAGAAAGAGAGAGAAAGAGAAAGTGAAAGAGAGAATATGTTTTGGAAGCTTGGCCATAAGAGTTAAAACTATTCTATTTCTAGAATATCATTCTTCAATATAAATAGCATGCACCAGATGTTACAAATATACCCCTCCAACCCATTCTAGGCTACAGTGCCCTCAATGGCGAGAGACTGTATGTATGTATGTATATGTGCGTGTATGTATGTATATATATTTTGTGAGTTATGATCATTTTTCACACTTGCATCCCACAGTCACCTGACCAAAATGCTTAACAACTGCTTCATACTTATGAACGTTGCTGCTGTGTGGGGGGGGGGTCACCTGATCCCCTTTTGCGACCTTCTGATAAACAAAGTCAATGGGGGGAAAGTCCCGATTCACTTAACAACCGGGTTATTCGTCAGCAGCAGTAATTTGACTTAGCAACTGTGGCGGGGAAGGTTGCAGAATGGGGCAAAACCCACTTCGGAAATGTTTCTGTTCAGCAACAGGAAATGTGGGGCCCAATTGTGGCCTTAAAACAAGGACCCCTCCTGGATTGGTACATCCAGGTATACATACACACGAGATATGATAATAGCCACCTTTAAAATGCCAGGTTCGCCTTTCTGCCCCCCTGGAAGTAAGTAACTTCCGGGAACGGCGAAGGGGCGCCCCCCTTTCCCCCCCCCCCCCCCCGCCCTTTTAAAACCCCATCCTTATTATTCCGGGAGGCGGAGATGCTGCCTGTACTGCTCAAATACCGACCGATTCTCAGCCAAAGTTCGGGCGCTCCGGTTGTGGGCCTTAGGAGAAGATGCGGATGGCCTGAGTGACGGCGCTGTGGCAGACGGGGCACTGGGGCTCGTTCTTCTCGCAGATGCGGTTGGCACACTCCATGCAGAAGAGGTTGTGGCCGCAGGGCACGAGGGCCGCGATGACCTCGCTCTCGAAGCAAACCGAGCAGTCGCGGCTCCCTTTGCGACGCAGCCCGGACGAGGAGCAGGACGAACTGGAGGAAGAACTGGAGGCGGAGGACGACGAAGAGGAGGAGGAGGAAGGCGAGCAGTTGGAGGGCAAGCCGGGCAAATGGCAGCCCAGCCCGTTGGCATAGAGCGGGTAGGAGCAAGAGGACGAAGAGGAGGAGGAGGAAGGCGAGCAGTTGGAGGGCAAGCCGGGCAAATGGCAGCCCAGCCCGTTGGCATAGAGCGGGTAGGAGCAAGAGGACGAAGAGGAGGAGGAAGATGAAGACGAGGAGCAGCAGGAGGCGGCGGCGGCGGCAGCCACGGCGGCGGCTAAGAAGCGGCCGCCCGGGTCGCTGCGCACCCGACGGGCCAACGGGTGCTGCTCGCTGGCTGCCAACGACCCTCCTCCAGCCCCGGAGTGCAAGGGCGGGGAGACGCGCGTCGGGGGCTGAGCCTGTGGAACGCCCCGCCTCTGTCCGCCGCTCACAAACAAGGCGGGAGCCGCCGCCGTCGTCGCTGAGCCGGGAAAGGCGGCGGCGGCGGCGGCGATCGCGGGAGAAGCCAGGCTGGTGCTGCGCTCGTACTGCGACCACAACAGCTGCGCGGGAGGAGCCGGCGCCAGGTCGAATCCCGGCGGGGAATCGAAAGGAGGCAGCTCGGCGGGGCAGCCGTCGGGGGAAGCCAGGGCTTCGGCGGGGGTCCCGTAGACGCCGTAGCCGTTGCTGGGGCCGCCGTTGGGCGGGAAGCCCAAGGCGGCCGGGCTGGGAGGGCTGTAATCGGCCAAGCGGCCGCTGCTGCCGAAGTAGGAGTCGGTGGAAGCGCTGCCTAGCGAGCTGGAGCTGTCGTTGCGGTAGCTGCAGAAAGGCTTGCGGGCGGGCGTCGGGGTGATGCTGCTGGAAGAGGAAGAGGAGGAAGAGGAGGAGGAAGGAGGCGGCGGGGGAGGGGGCGGAGGAGGAGGCGGCGGCGGCGGCGTGGGCTTGCTCCAGAGGCTGCCCGCGCCCCCTCCGCCCAGCTCGAAGCCCACGTCGGTGCCGTTGGCGTGGAAATCGTTCTCGTCGATCAGCTCGATCAGGCCGCCGGTCCGCATGGCGATGTGAGCTTCGATCTCCTCGCGGGCGCGGTCCACGTTCTCCGGCATGCCCGTCACTTCGAAGACCGGCTCCTTGTCCCGGCTGGGCGTGACGATG